CCCCAAAACCCCAAAACCCCAAAACCCCGTGGAATAAATTTTCCTTGTAGTTAAAATTAATGCTGATTTATATTTATATATAATTATCAATAAATGACTGAGGAGGAGAAAAAGACCGTCCTTGGAGATCTCTACGAGAAACTCAACAAAGCAACCAAGACTGGACAGCATCAGACTGTTCTTGACCACACAGATAAAAGTAAGTTAAGATCTAAGAAATATTAATTGCATTTTAGTACTTTAAGTTGACAGCATTCAAGATGTAGCTATTAAAGCCAGAATTACAGCCTTAATAAAGACTAAAAATTTTGACTAAGCAATCGAATAACTTAAGGGGAAAGAAAAATCTCATTCTTTCGAATATGCTTATGTATTGCATAGACAAGGCAAAAACAAGGAAGCCCTCTCTGCATTATAAAATGGCACTGCTGACAAGGAAAGCTCACATGTGAAGCATCTTATCTCGCAAGTTGTAAGCATTTCTATCCATATTTATTATATCTTTTAGTAATATAAACTTAATGATTACAAGACTACTGTAAATCTCTACACAGATTTGATTAAAAGTGCCAGTGAGGATGAAGTTCAAGACATTCTTACAAATCTATTGGCGTGTGCTTCTAACAGTGATGAGTTGATTAGTCCAGTCGAGAGACTTGTCGAGTCATTTTAATTCGAGAAGACCTACGAGTTCTTTTTCAATCTCTGTCAAGTCCAGATGAAGCAATAGTTGTATCAGGAAGCTCTTAAGATGTTCATTAAGTCCTATTAAATGGCCAAGGATGATGGCTCGGAGCAAAGTGATTTGACTAGATTTAAGGTCTAGGAGATTCACACTCTTAACAGTTTGTATTAAGACTTGAATTAAATTGAGTATGGAGAGATTAGCAAGTTTGTCTTGCCAAAGACTCTGAAGAACGAGAACTTAGTAGAAATTAATATCAATGCCTTCCAAGAAACTTATGACTTCAACAAGTAATATCTCAAAGAGTTAATTGGTAACTTGAACTGGAATAAATTCTCTGACAGAATACAGTAACAACTTAGCAACAATCAAAATTTGACATCTGAATAGAAGAAGCTTATGCAAGTCAACTTGATAGTTGCATAAATCAGAAGTCACAAATTTGAGGATGCTAGAAAGGCTTGGGAAAAGATTTCAGCAACAAATGACCATTACGCTCTTAAAGGTATTGGAGCATATTTCTTCTTAAAGTAATAATGATCCTATTTAAATATTTAATTAGAGACAAAAAGTATGATGAGGCACTTAACTTGATTAAAAACCAAAAAGATACTTACTCTAACTTCTTGAGAGCATAAATTCTTATCTCTAAGAGTAAGTCCAGTTTTACCTAATAAATTAATAGAGGAATCTAAGCAAGCTTTTGAACAATTAGCATCAAATCTTTCTGATGAACTTTTAAACAATGATGACTTTATGATATTCTTGCTAAAGCAATGTTCGAACCTCAAATTGTAAAGTGTAGTTACTAGTCTTGCAGAGTAATTATTGAAAATAAAGCAAGCAAGTGCCAACAAAGATTTGCTATTATATTTATCAGACCTACTTATAACTGAAGGAAATAAGACTAAAGCCTATGAAATCCTTAAGTCCTTATCTGAGGCTCATGGAAATGATAATGTTGTACTCAGCCGATACTTGAATGTACTCGTTGATGTGAATCTTAATGAAGCAGTTAAAGTGTAGTAAAAACTTAATGCTCCAGTATCTTCTAATTTAATTGATAATGATGAATACCTCAATTAACTAATTGATGAGGGCATGCCTGAGAAAAAGAAGGAAAAGAAAACCAAGAATGTTGTGCAGGAGACTAAAGGGGGAGCTGAGATCTTTATTCCTAAAAAGAGAAAGAGAAGAGTTCAATATCCTAAGAATTTTGATCCCAAGAATCCAGGCCCAGAGCCAGATGTTGAGAGATGGTTGCCCAAGTGGTAGAGATCCAGATTCAAGAAGTACGCCAAGAAGAAGGGTATTTATCTCAAGGGTGCTCAAGGAGATGCTCAAATCGACACAGATGTTACAGGAGGCATTTCTCAAAGTACCGCTCATCAGGAAGCAGTTACAGAAAAGAAGAAGAACAAGAGAAGAAAGAAGTGAAAAGTGAAAAGAATAAAGTGCTCATCAATTACAAATTGATGGTAGAATTTATTGATAAATACAATAAAATTAGTTTTCATAAAGATTATTATTAAAATTACCTATTTGATCGCAAATCTTTTCCAGAGGGGTTTTGGGGTTTTGGGGTTTTGGGG